TCTTCTGGCCCACATTCAATGTTCTCCAACCCCCTTTCTCCTGGTTGTTCTTGGAGAACTTCGATTTCATTCTCCTCCTTTGAGTAGCGGAGGTTACTGAAGACTGATCCAAACTGCGATCCCAGTAACTCGCACATGCCCTGGTCATCTACGACAGGGACATCGTAATTCTTCATCGGGCACACTGGCTTCTTTATTTTAGCCTTGGTCTGGGCGTATTTGAAAAAGTACTCTGAGTTCTTTCTGATTATCTCCACTACTCGTTTCTCGGCAGCTTGTTCTTCTATCCTATGCGAGTCCTGCGACCTGAGTTCAATTTCATTTTGCAAATCTACTAGTCACTGTCTCCGCAGATCACTAGTGGATTCAGTTATTGGTTTATTCAGACGTGTGCGTTTTCTCATGAGGATTCAACGGTCTCCCGGAATGCTGCGGACTTAGGGGACCGTTTTTCTCGGAGTATGACGCACACATACCTGTGCTAGTTTCTCACAAAGTTTTGTGTAAATTTCCTCTGCATTCATATCGTGAAACCCTTCTCTCCAGTCAGTTTCGTCAAGTTCATTCCATATTGCCTCCCAATCCGTTCTTCGATGGTGGAAACTTAGTCTTACCAGCCCCTTTTGGGGTATAGCACCGGGCTGGGTATCAGTTCCAATTGTCGTATCCACCCTCACCAGGCGGTAGTCTGACAGTGAGGTTTCTTCAACCCGAACGTCAACCACCATTCTTTCATTATCAGTAATTAAGAGATCGAGGCTATTTCGTTCCCAAGTCGGCAACCGTACCTGCTGACTGGGCAAGTATTATGCAGCAAACTTCACTAGTTTGGCTTCTTGACCTCTGTCGCGGTCACCAATCTCCACGTCGCCCAGACTTGTCCATCGGATACGTGGCAGATTGAAGTATCCCCCCATTATCAGGTTGGGGCTGGTTCACCCAGGCCAGCCACCCTAGTGTCTATTTCCTCCAGAGTTTTGTTAAAATTTACCGATGGGCAAGCAGGCGGCCTATAGACTATGGCTACGCAGATGTCAAGTTTTTAATGTGGAGTAGTACATGTTCAACAAATCCATCAGAGTTTCCAGATTCCGATCTCAATTCTACCTTGCTTCTTGCGAGGGAGTTTCTAAGGTAAACAATTACTCCTTCCTTCTTCTTCCCTACAATTCGGTCCGCACGATAATGTTGAAAGCCTTCCATTGCAATTTCTGCATCTTTAGGCGCGACTCCGTTAGTGAAATCATAAAGATCCCACCCTCGACGGCCATCTCACTTAGCACGACAATCTTGTGACGTGTTCTTTGTGGGAAGAGCCCCTCGATATTGGCCAGCAGGATGCTAGACTCTTCCCTCCTTGGTGTTCTTACCTGCAGCGACACCGATCTGGCAGGCGTTCCAGATCTAGCAGCTCCTTTATCTGGAGTTGCGTCATTTCCAATTGATATTGCATTTGGTCCTTCATGACTGTGTAAAAAGCACTGAAGGTAACCTCTATCTCCTCACGTGCTTCTCTGCCCCGTACACATCGGCTACTCAGTGGATTAGCTAAGTCGTCTGGCTTTCTCCATTGACTCCGTTCATTTCCACCTCGTACATCACCGCTCCTTCCAACGGTGTTTCTCTCAGCGTTGCCCTATCTTCCTTGAGCGCGAGGGGCAGGCTGTGCGGTGGGCATTGCTATTTGATGTGAGGGCATAACACTGTTTCTCGCTCTATTGCCATTTTTTCCACTTGTTTTTCTTGATTTGATGTGGTGGAAACGACAGTTTTCTCTGCTGCAGTCCTCTCTGTTCATGATACTCCAGCACAGGGGCAATCCTTACCATATTTGCAGTCATCCCTCTGGGAGCATCCCTCTCATCCCTCTGGGTCATCCCTCTGGGATGACCGCTTCCATAATCAGAGAATTTATAACACAATCTAGGGTGTGAGAATGTGCATCCTTCACCGTTCTTCCCGTATTTCCAGCAAACGCATTTTTTAACTCGCGGTCTGCCTGAGGGTACATAGGTTTTTTGGGAGGGTAAGGTTGGAAAAGATGATGGTAACCGATCTCCAAATCTAGAAGGTTCATGGTAGGGTTGGGAGCAATGTGGGAATGGGGGGTTTGAGCAGGGGGGAGAGTAGGAAGGGGGTAAGTCTGGTTTGCGGAGGGGAAATGGAGTTGGCTGTTCTGGATGTGTCGGTTTGCCGAAAATTCATGGCTGACAAACTTTGTTTTACTCACGTTGTATTTATCTCCGCATTCTTTCATAATGCAGTGTTCGCATTCATATGAAACTCTGGTGGCATTCATATGAAACTCTGGTCGTGAAACAAGTTTCACGAGAACGTAAAGCGGAAGCGTTGTACACTGAAGGTGTATAAACAAACGACATTTGAATGGGTAACGGTGCTTGCAAAACTTATGGCAGATTGTACATGAACTACCCTTAGTGGGCTCAATCACAACACATTATGCAATAATGCCGTATTTTTTAAATTTGTTTATCTTGTTGCACTAATTCTGTTTTTCAGGATTCACAATTTCAATGGATAGTTAGTTCGGAAGGTTTACTATTGATTGGTAGTCTTGCCGTAGCTACACTATCTCTTCCTGTTGGGTTCCAGAGTAAGGAATTTTAACCGCTGCTGGCGGCGGTCTGGAGACCGGATAGAAGTAATGAAATTTAGTTCAGGCCTGGGCTCAAATGCACTCTTTCTGCACACTTGACACCTTCCTGAGTGAAAAATGCATTCACTGTATTTTTTCCTTTAAGTATCTAATTATTTGTGTCTACCACACTTTGCTATCATTGATTCACTTATTCACCGCAGAAAGGCTATTTTGATTTTCAACTTGAATGTTTGATTGCTAAGTTAGATTTAATCTAGCCAAATCCGATTTTTTTTAAAAGTGCGATGTTTACGAAATTTGAAAGTATTAGCCTGGCCTGAACACGCTCAACTCACTTCCACACTTCTAGTAGCTTAATGAACTCCCTGATCTACCACTATCACTTCACTGGATTCATAACACGTGAGCTCAGATTTGAGAACAGACCAATCAGCTCAAAACTAAAAAACCGACGTAAAATCAGGCCCACGGCGGTAAATTTTACGCGAGCGGTACTCGTCCTACCAGCACAACGATCAGGAGGGAACTTCTCATGGTGAATGGGGAAACTCTCATTCACCGTACTGTATAGAAGCGTCGGCGGTAAGTTCACTGAGGCTTTCTCCTTTTTTCGCGCTAAAAGTAGCTTGAATTACGGGCTCCGGGTGCTGAGTGGCGTTTCAGACGCTTTTGGCAAATATTTTTTTGTGGGACAAGTCGGGATAGTTACTTTGGTGCGTAGTTTCTACGCACCGATTTGTTACAGTGCATAGCGTTACCTAATTGGCCAATCAGAGCAGTTTGCCATTGTTTACACGATTTTGTGTTCCGGTGAAGATATTATTCAGCTTCATCTTCAAAATTTAATTTAAAATGGTTAAAACTCAAAAATTGGCGACAGATTTGCGTCAAAAGATCATAGATAGTTACAAGAAATGGAAAGGGTATCGCATAATATCCAAAGATCATCATCAATCATTTGATCTATCATCCTGATGATTACATCCAAGCATGCTGTTGCTAACCTTTCAAGACCTGGTTAGCTCTCTCTTCCTTCTCTCTAAATATAATTTAGATAACTCTAAATTATATTTAGAAGATAAAGCTGAATAATGTCTTCACCGTAACACAAAATCTTGTAAACAATGACAAACTGCTCTGATTGGCCAATTAGATAACGATATGAGATCAGTTTAACGTCTAGAGCGAAAAGCAAATTTTGAGCACTTATAAAAATTAAGCGTGGGATATTTTTTCTATTTATTGAATAAAATCTAAAAACTGCTTACTTTAAAATATCCTTTCTATATAATGTTTTCAGTATCATTAGCAATCTACTGACCGAATATTAGGTTAAATCTTGTACTTTAACTTGAGATTTGAAGAAAACTGTAATGTTTTCAATACTTCTGTGTCACTGTATCACCTGGACCTGAAAATTTCACGCCCAGGAAATTACTTTAATTAAATACATATTCCTGTTGCCTTATAGGAAGACGCCTGCAGCTGCCACTTGATCTACCTGCACTTGATCTTCCTGCACTTGATCTTCCTGCACTTGATCTTCCTGCACTTGAATGTCCTGTACCTGAACTGAATGCCTTCTTTGATGCCTGCTTACTTACAGCAATTCTCACCTTGGACTGCTGACAGCCTTCTTTAATGCCTGCTTTATTACAGCACTTCTGCCTGGAGAGAGAGACACAGTATAAGCTACGCGAAAGTACCACTGTATAGGCTGCACCAACCATTATATCTACGCATCATAAGCTAATGGTTCTTCATCATAGGCAAAGAAAAAACCAATTTGTTAATACCTACATAGGACATATCTTCCATCGCAGCTATCGTTTGTTGAATACAAAACATCTTTATCATTTGCTCATGTCTGGTCTATCAGTCATCAATTATAATTTATTCATCCAAGAGCTAGGTCTAAAATCAGCAATCGAACCATAAACCAAGCTTCTATATGGAATCATTTCGGTAAAACAATTGTTGCAATGAACTGAGCAGGAGAATATCATTCAGCTTTGATGAAAAAGAAACTATAACCGATAGAGATCAAATTCCCTCTGATGTTGTCAACCACTCATATCCCTCATGAGGTTATCGTGCTCTCTAATTCGTTCCTATCTCATTTTCATGCTATATAACATAATTCATTTCTCAATTAATATGAACTTTAATGCATTTAGTACCATCTCCACATTATTTTTCCACAGATAATATTTATGAACAATATTCGATCCGTAAATTTTTAAAGAGAGCAAAACCTCAAAGCAACGTAAATGACAAATTTTATTAAGTTGCAGCCGTAGGCATCAAAATTTCTTTTCAGGTAATAATGCGTACTTCGCTTTCGTCTTTCTGGTTTTATTACTATTTTTCAACTTAACAGATCCTCCGTAATGGACGGCCAGTCAGTGCAGGCAAGCTCGAGGCCTGCCGGAGACCATATTGCAGATGAAATCTACGCAATTTATCGCAATATTGCTGGTGTGCTGCACGTTGCCCCCAAGGTCATCCGATTCGTTGTCAGCAAAGAATGTGTCGACAAAAAAAGCAACGAGAGTTACAAAAAATACATAGAACGCTTAAAGGGCAAGGAATTCAGTAAAACGGAATGGAAACGTCAGTTTGGAATGATATCGGAAGATTTGAGCCACCCTGATGATTTAGACATCACTGGGTTGTTCTGTCTGCTGGAGAAACTTTCTAGGTTACATGATGAATGTTGGCGGAGCGTAAAGCCTGGAGATAAAAAGTGTCCACTTGAAAAGCTTTCTCGCTCAGATAAGAATGGCCTTCCGAGGGAGTTAGAAAAATTGCTCGACAAGTTGCGTAAGGTCAAGGAATTGCGAAACAAAATCATGCACGAGTTCGAAGTAACATTGGCCCCTCAAAAATTCAGTGATTTGAAGACTGCCTTGTTAGAGCTAATTGAAGAAGCCGAAAGGGTCTATTCACTGCCACAGTCTGAAGTTGAAGATCAGAAAAAAAACGTACACGATGACTTCGAAAGCCTGCAGACTCCGGACAAAAAAAGCATTTATCACTGGTGTACAAGATTGGCTATGTCAGGAAAACTGGCGGTGAAGAACCTTTGGAAAACCAAACTAACCGAAGAGACCCTCCCACTAGACAACAGCATTGTGCAGCGTCCGGAAGTATTTCATTCTCTCGACGTGATGGTGAGACGGTCAAGACGTGATGGCCCTGACGGTCATGTTCTTCCGTACCCCGACATTTTCAAGGCTCCTGAGAAAGCAATTATAGTTTCCGGAGTTGCTGGTGCTGGCAAGACTACTCTTCTGAAAAACATCGTGCTTCAATTTTTCGAGCTCCAGGAAGGAAATGCAGATTACCTGCGTCAATTTAACCAGCTCATCCTGTTTGAGTGCAGGGATCGTACCACTGAATCACTGGCTGACGTCATCGAGCAGCACTTCAAGGATCTGTGTAGGGAATTAGAGGGTAAACAAAACCTCCTTGATGCCCTCTTTCTTCTACACGCCCTATTTGTCATCGATGGGTACGACGAAGTAAACAATGTTTCAACCAACGTAGTGAGTGAGATCATCAAGAAGACGTCAAGCAGCAACTGCCGGGTGTTGATCACGACTCGTCCTCACAGTGCGAGAAAACTGGAAATGCTTCTTACTACTAACGATGTCAATTCTACCGAATTCGAGATCAAGCCGCTCACTGAGCTGGCTGAGCAGCTGGAATTTTTGACAAGGTATGAAAAGAGTTTAGGCATCAAACAAGGTGAGATGACAGAAAGCTTCAAGACGCTGAATAAAGATGTCAGAATTCTGTTCACCGAACCCATCAACTTGATTCTTTTCTGCGACATGCATAAACACATGCCTGAGACCATTTCGTCGTGGGAAAAGCCCGGGGACGTGGCGACTGATATTCTACGCTTGTATAAGAAGCTTGTCACCTTAAAGCTTGCTGATGTGACTCATCTTGAATGCGAAGTCATGTTAGACGATCTGTTTGTTGTCATTGGTAAAGCAGCGCTGGAATTTATTCGTGAAAACGCTGTAACATTCTCAGAAAAAGAACTGCTTCAGGTTAAACGCAAATGCATTCCAATACTGAAAAACACGGTAGAGTGTAGCTCTGAAATTATCCTCTCGGTAGTGCTGAAAGTAAATAGACCTCTTTCTGGAGCCGGGGAAACCACCTACACCTTCCATCACAAATCTATTCAAGAAATGTTTGCTGCTGAATTTATTGTGCAGCGCATCCTAGAGGACAAGGACACCCTAAAGAGTATCCTGGATGCCGAACCTGAGGAAATGAGCAGGTAAGGAGGCAGAGAGAAATATAAGTCACTTTGAGTAACTTAGTTAACGATATCAACAAAAATTCCCGTCATATTCTGGCGTCAGTCAATGACAGTAAATTTTTTATGCACTCGTAACTGTTATAACTGGCAGGAAAGGTATCTTTTATTATAGGGCAAAATTTCGATGAGTTCTGTCAATCGAGTAACTGTGACACTCGACTAGGTTGTTCTAACGGACCTTTTTTAACTTTACCTTCGCAATACCCGATGTGTTGGACTAATTTATGTAGATTTTAATAAGACGTTGAACACGTCGATTGTATTGCGAAAATATTAAGAGGAATATTGGGCAACGTTTTTCCGAAGTTTATCACAACAAATGAACATAAGTAAGTGGGAATAATGACAACATTGATTCATATACAGTATGTTTCCTCCTCACTTTACTCATATCTATCTTTTTGAAAGTCGCGTAAGCGTTTGCCTTCAATCAATCCATTTTTAATCATTCACCTGCATCTATGCGCTTGAGTTATATTTTTCTAATAATATCAGTAGATTGTGTGATTATAATAACTCAACAGTTAAAGCGTCTTGGAGATCTGGTTAAGCAACTTGGATAGCTGCCAACAGTTGCGGCTGTATGGGACTCACTAAAAACTCAAATCGAATAACAAAACACGAAAAAGAATAACTTGCATCTGTCACAGGTAATTTAACCCTTCGCGATACTCACTTGAGAACCCTTTACATGAACGCTTTTCCCCAGCGTGCGTGAAGTTCTGCAGTACGTGGTGCAGGGCCTCAGCCGCTGCAAGCCCCGCCTCTTGAAGAAACGCTGGCCAGAGCTGAAGAAGGCGCTGACTGATGCCGGCGTCGTCTCTTTCGCCGACTGGCAGGAGTGTCTCCGCATCTGCCCTGACGTTGAGCAGGTGGCCAAGCCTGCCGCTCTTAGCAAACTTAAAGAAAACAAGACGTGGCATGTCGGAACAGGTTGGTGAACTTTGTATATCATCAGTCGGTTAATGGAATACACAAGTTTTGTAATTTGATTTGAATATATTCAAACTGATAATAGTAACAATAATTGCGTTCATATTTCACCATCTTCAGCTATACACTGAAATCTCAAGAAATATTTTAAGACAGGTTAATTTTTTCCGCATAAACCGTGATGTGCAGAAGAAACTGCATATTTAATAAGGAGTAAACGCTCTGAAACTACTTAGTATTCATACGCTTTACAAAATTAAAAGTTCAAACCATGTTCATGGCCTCAGGTCGTGAAGTAGCGCTGGTCGCTGCTATGTTGCCGTACGCACAACCTGACCTCCTGGAGGTGAAGATTAAACCTGACGACCCGAGCAAGAGGCGGTGGGCAGAACTTGTGAAGCGTCGCGTCGGACGCGTCCATCTTGTGCTGCAGAACCCTGGCGGTGATGAATACAAGAGCAACGACGACATCCTCCTGCCAATGCTTGGCACAAAGTATGAATATTCTCATCCTAAGTCAACACTTGCTAAGCTTAAGTTATAGAGTTTCAACTAAAAGTCAAGTTTGGTCTCATGGATAATGTAATCGACACGATCTGCTGATGAATAACCGAGCGCCGGCGAGACTTTGGTTTTACTACACTGTGAAAAATTACTTCAAACTTAACTTATTTGATTAATAATGACATCAACAAAATTCATAGTACAGAGTTAGCCATAATCAGGTAGATTTGACGAATGTGAATATAAATGGATTATAGAGCATTTTGGAGAGTGAGCTCTGAGCCTCCAGTTCATGTGAGATGAATTTACTCCATGAAGTCTATGTATAAGAAGCTATGAGTGCATGCAGAACCTTTGAGTGCATATAAGAAGCTTTATGTGCATGTAAGAACCTGTAGGTACGTGTAAAAATCTGTTGGTGCATGTAAGAAACTGTAGGTGCATTAAGAACCTGTAGGTGCAGGTAAGAACCTTTAGTTGCATGTAAGAACCTTTAATTGCATGTAAGAACCTTTAGCTGTATGTAAGAACCTGCAGGTGCATGTAAGAACCTTTAGATTTGTGTAAGAACCTGTAGGTGCATGTATGAACATTTAGGTGCATGTAAAAACCTGTAGATGCATGTAAGAACCTGTAGGTATATGTAAGAACCTTTAATTGCATTTAGGAACCTGTTGGTGCATGTAAGAACCTTTAGATTTGGGTAAGAACCTGTAGGTGCATGTAAGAACCTGTAGGTATATGTAAGAACCTTTAGTTGCATTTAGGAACCTGCAGGTGCATGTAAGAACCTTTAGATTTGTGTAAGAACCTGTAGGTGCATGTAAGAACATGTAGGTGCATGTAAAAACCTGTAGATGCATGTAAGAACCTGTAGGTATATGTAAGAACCTTTAGTTGCATTTAGGAACCTGTAGGTGCATGTAAGAAATATGTAGGTTTATGTTAGAACCTGCAGGTGCTTGTAAGAACCTTTAGGTGCATGTAAGAACCTGTAGGTGCATGTAAGAACCTTTAGTTGCATGTAAGAACCTTTAGGTTCATGTTAAAACCTGTAGATGCATGTAAGAACCTGTAGGTATATGTAAGAACCTTTAGTTGCATTTAGGAACCTGCAGGTGCATGTAAGAACCTTTAGATTTGTGTAAGAACCAGTAGGTGCATGTAAGAACATTTAGGTGCATGTAAAAACCTGTAGATACATGTAAGAACCTGTAGGTATATGTAAGAACCTTTAGTTGCATTTAGGAACCTGTAGGTGCATGTAAGAAATATGTAGGTTCATGTTAGAACCTGCAGGTGCTTGTAAGAACCTTTCGGTGCATGTAAGAATCTTTAGGTGCATGTAAGAACCTTTAGTTGCATGTAAGAACCCTTAGGTGCATATAAGAACCTGCAGGTGCAGGTAAAAACCCGTAGGTGCATCTAAGAACCTGTAGGTGCATGTAAGAACCTGTAGGTGCATGTAAGGACCTTTAGGTGCATGTAAGAACCTTTAGTTGCATGTAAGATTCCTTAGGTGCAAGTAAGAACCTGTATAGGTGCATGTAAGAATTATATGTGCATGTAAGAACCTGTAGATGCAGTTAAAAACCTGCAGGTGCATGTAAAAACCTGTAGGTGTATGTAAAAACCAGTAGGTGCCTCTAACAACCTTTAGGTACATGTAAGAACCTGTAGGTGCATGTAAAAGCATGTAGGTGCATGTAAGAACCTGTAGGTGCATGTAAGAAACTATATGTGCATGTAAGAATCTGTAGGTGCGTGTAAGAACCTGTAGGTGCAGGTAAGAACTCTGCAGGTGCATGTAAGAACCTGCAGGTGCAGGTGATGCCGTCGGGGTTCTCGCGCTCAAACCACAGGGTAACGGAAGGAATACAGGAGGGGAGGGGGAACCCCGCCCCAATATCCTCGTCACCACATCCTCACCCCACGCTTCCGCCCCCACAGCCCCACCCCAATACCCTCTTCCCCATATCCCAGCGCCCACGGCTCCGTCCCCAAATCCCCGCCGCTTCCACGCCTCCGACCCCACACCCCCGCGCCTCACCCCTGACCCTACACCACAACCCCTCCCCCGGGGCCCTCTCAACCCCTTTACCACCAGCAAAAAAAATTACAATTGATTGCTTGTCTACTACAATGTGTTGCTGTCCATTACAATGGATTGCTGGTCCATTAGAACGGATTGCTGGTTCATTACAGTGGATTGCTGGTCTTATGATCTTATAAAGAGTTTAGGACTTCGTAGTCCCCGGTCAAGCTGATGCTCCGCCTTCGTTGTCCTCCGTCTCCGAGTTGTCGCTAGGCAGATCACCCAGCTCTCGGGTCCCGGATGTAACGTTAGACGTGAAACGTATATTTGCCCTCCTTTGGGCCAGCTGATGCAAGATGCTGTTGCGTGTTATTTGCTGAGGGTGGTTTCCCATTACTGGACAATCCGGGATCTTTCTTAACCAATTGTCCAGTCGTCTCTTGAATGTTGCAAGGGTGAACTCCCCTCCTCTCAGCACATTTGGCAAGGCATCAAAGAGCCTCGGTCCTAACACGGACGGTGATCCCTCACGAAGAGTCTGTACTCTGGCCGCGGCTCGGCTATTAAATGGAGGAACCCTGCACAGCCTGCCACTCTTGTTGCTGTAATATGTCACTATTCTGGAGGTCTCACATTCAGAGTTGGGAGCCAATCCGGTTATCATCTACCAAGTGTACAGTATGATATACCTCTCTCTTCTCCTCTCCAGTGAGTACAGTCCCAGGTGTTTCAGCCTGTCCCAGTAGTTCAGGTCCAGCTCCCTCATGCCGCTGTTCCTGTACGTAAAGGTCCGCTGCACTGCCTCCAGTTTCCGCACCGCACCCATATCTTGAGCGGCATCCCAAGCTGACAGCAGTATGAGTGTAATCACTGGTGCTGCTTCTTATGTTCGAAATGTCCGCCAGATCTACTCCATCCTATGTCTCTCTCGCGCAACTATTTCCTCGATGTGGTCATCGAACGTGGCTTCAGTACACATCAAAATTCCGAGATCTCGAACTAGTTGCTTCTCTTCATTTTCTGTGCCATCTGATGCCAAGTAGCGATGTGGCATCCCGATTTCTGTGCCAACTCTGTATCTCATTACTTCGAACTTGGTGCCGTTGAATTGCATGTTATTCACTAGGGCCCAATCATAGATTGTCAACAAGTCGTTCTGGAACCTCTCGCAGGCTATGTCCTCAGTGATCTTCATTAGCACTCTTGTATCGTCCGCAAATGATGATGTAGATGCGTGGGTAAGTTGATATCGGCGATATGGATGAGGAAAAGGATCGGTCCAAGCACCGAGCCCTGTGGCACACAGCTTTTCGCTCTCGCTTCTCTCGACTTAGAGTTTCCAATTGCGACAGCTTGTTTGCTATTTGTAAGGGAAGTTGTGTGGGAAGTCTCAGCTTTCTGAAGTGCACCCATGGTCAACTTTCTCAAAGGCTTTAGCACAGTCCAGTTATACTACATCCACGCCAGCGCCCTCCTCCAGCAGTGCGATAAGACGAAGATGGTGTTCCAGTAACTGTGACAAACAGGAACCATTTCGTCGGAAACAATGTTGTCCATTATTATATAAGTCAGCCTCTTCCATGTACTGGACAAGCCTCCTGGCCACTACCTTCTCAAAAACCTTGATCACCTGTGCGGTCAAAGTAACCGATCTGTAGTTTTGAGGTCAGTCCCTCGAGCCTCCTTTGTGAATCGGCGTTAACAGTCCCACTTTTAGGCCCTCAGGAATAATTCCTTCCATCATCGAGGCTTTCCAGAGCATTGTGAGCGGGACCTTCAGAGTTCCAACACACTTCTTCAATAGCATTGCCGGAATTCCATCCGTTGCTGATGCTGAAAACGAAGCTAATTCTTTGATACTTATTTCCATATCTTCAGGCCCAAACCCAATGTTCTCCAACCCCCTTCCTCCTGGCAGTTCCTGGAGAACTTCGATTTTATTTTCCTCCCCTGAGTAGCGGGGGTTACTGAAGGCTGATTCGAACTGCGATCCCAGTAACTCACACATGCCCTGGTAATCTCCGACAAGACATCGTTATACTTCAACGAGCCCACTGGCATCTTTATTTTAGCCTTAGACTGGGCGTAAATGAAAAAAAGTCTCGCTGATTACCTCCACTACTTGTTCCATGGCAGCTTGTTCTTCTATCCTATGCAAGTCCTGCAACTTGAGTTCAATTTCCTTGTGCAAATCTACTAGTCTCTGTCTCCTCAGATTACTAGTGGATTCAGTTATTTGTTTATTCAAACGTGCGCGTTTTCTCATGAGGATTCATCGGTCTCCCAGAATGCTGCGGGCTTCGGGGCCCGTTTTTCTCGGGGTATGACGCACACATACCTGTGCTAGTTTCTCACAAAGGTTTGAGTATATTTCGCCTGCACTCAAATCGTGACTCTTTTCTCCAGTCAGTTTCGTCAAGTTCATTCCATATTGCCTCCTAACCCGATCTTCGATGGTGGAAATTCAGTCTTACCAGCACCTTTTGGGGTATCGGGCTGGGTATCGGTTCCAATTGTCGTATCCACCCTCACCAGACGGTGGTCTGACAGTGAGGCTTCTTCAACCCGAACGTCAACCACCATTCTTTCATTATCAGTAAAGAATAGATCGAGGATATTTCGTTCCCTTGTCGGCAACCGTGTCTGCTGACTGAGCAATTGTTCCGCAGCGAACTTCACTAGTTTAGCTTCTTGACTTCTGTTGCGGTAATCAACATCCACGTCACCTAGACCTGTCCAACGGAAACATGGGAGATTGAAGTCTCTCCCCATTATCAGGCTGGGAGCTGATTCACCCAGCCCAGCCACCCGGGTTTCTATTTTCTTCAGGGTTAGTTCTAATTTTCCGATGGACAAGCAGGCGGCCTATAGACGATGGCTGCGCAGAAGTCAAGTTTTTTATGTGGAGTAGTATGTGTTCAACAAATCCATCAGTTTTCAAATTCCGATTTCTATT